CATTTGAGTTGGATTTGGGGAAATTTGAGTCTTTAAAGGGCAATTTGGGGGTTTTGGTTGAAGATGGTCAAATTGGCCAAATTAGGTCATGTGGTAGTTGAGAGAAATTAAATTGGGAATATTTAGAATTTATTGGGATTTTCTGGGGATTTTTAGAATTTTTGGAATTTTTCGTCCAAGAGAGGTTTTTTGGTAATTTGGGGGTGTTTCAGGGGTAAAAGGCCAAGATGGGTATTTTGATAGATTTGTGATACCAATCATCTCCAATAAGCCATGGACCAAAGGAAAATGGACCAATGGAAGCTCCATTTTGGGTCTTCTACATAGTGGTCTTAGCTAAACCAATAGCCCTTGGGCTAGTAGGTTTAGGGGACCATCTATATGAGTATGCCAAAAGATCAAGGGATCTATGCTAGAAATTTGAATTCATGTTTGTGAGTGATTATGGGTGCAGATAATTGTAGTGAGTGCCTTAGCTCCAGACCAACATCCAAGGTCAACCCTAAGGTCCAGCAATCCTAAGGGTGACTCATCTTGGATTTCCCCCACAGTGACCCCACCTACTAAGTATTTAGAGGTTGAGAGCAACATGTGGAACTTCAAGCTGAGTTGAGAAGAGTTTTGGAATTTCTAATGGTGAGGGTTCCATGTCTAGTTTTCTAGGAATAGTCAACAGGAAAAGACTTATGGCTAGACCCTAGGTTACTAATGAGAAAAAACTAAACCTCAACCAAAAATGAGGTCAACAAACTAGCTCTAGACCAACAATCAGGGACAACCCTAAGGTCAAACAGTCCTACGGGGACTCTCGTGAGATCCTCCATACTGACCACAACTACTAAGTGCTAGAGATTATGACCAATATGTGGAACTTAAAGTTGAGGAAAGAAAAGTTTAGAATTTCTAATGGTGAGAGTTCATTTTCTCATATTCTTATTTTCCTATGTAAATTTTAAAACTTGTTATGCTCATAGTTATTTTGTTTATTTTAAAACTTGTTATGCTCATAGTTATTTTGTTTACTTTCATGGTATGATGTTAAACTATTTTGGTTGACAATAAGAGAACCTTGTCTTTTCTTCATTTCTCTAGATTAATGTTGTGGTGGCTACCGGTTAATAACCTTGACTTTGGGCCATAATTCCTTATCAACAAGCTACTTAATAGTCTCATGGCATATCATTCCTTTTTTTTGATAACTCGTATGGTTTAGAATCGTACATATGAACAAGTCTGTTGCTCCATTTACTTGCGATGCATATTTGTTGGCATTTGTCGAGGATGCATCTGAATCGGGAAAAGGTAGCTTAGTGTCACCTCCCAAAAGAGCTCTTTTGGGAGGTGACAAGTGATATCAGAGCAGATTACTGCCTGTCAGATGTGTGGACTCTCCATGGTCGAGTGGGACCCTCGATGGAGCTGATCCGTGACGAGGGCATCACGTGATTAGATCGAGGAGAATGTCACGAACAAATAGTCCCACATCCGCTAGATGTAGGGCAGAAAAACAGTATTCAAGTCCTGGGCTGCCCCCACCCCTAAGGGCTCTTTTGGGAGGTGACATTAGCCTATCAATAATTGCTTTTTTTTTTTTTTTTTTTTTTGAGAAAATTATATGAAAAATTACATGCAAAACACTCAAAACATTGCCTTCTTACAAAAATAGAACAGCACTCAAAATTTTTTTTGAACCAAACCGATGCATTATTTACGGAAGCCACCAACAAACCATTGAAAATTTTATAAAAACAAAATAATTTGCTCAGATTTTAACGTGAATTTTATTTTTCGACTGAAAATTTGAATAATGGATGAAAAGAAACTTGCTATGCATTTAAGCACATGATACTTTGAGCTCATGAGCGAATTTAGCACAGAGCCCAACTCAACTTGAAATTAGCCGAGGGTTGCACATGAGTGACTCTCCACATGAAAATGTTCCATACAAAATTTTGAATTTGGGTTAAAAAAATAAGTAAATAAAAAGTTTCACTCAAATTGATGCCGACGAACCACATGAATCAGGTTTAGCTTGAATCAAATTAATTTAACTTGCCGATAAATATGATTGTTTTGATTGACTCAAATAAAAGTAAATGAACCATACCTTAATTGAATTGATATTTAATCGAAACAAACTTGAGCAACAGATCAAATGATTTGTAGTTGATTTAATGCTACGATAAATGAATTAATGACAAAAATTAATACGGCTGCCAGTAGTCCAACAAAAACTGCAACAGATAATATATTGTTTCTCAACTTCCACATATATGTTTTAGAGATTTAAGATATTAACCATATCAGAGAGTAAATATTTGCCTGAAAATTGCGTAAAAGCATTAAAATGCTGCTTATTAAATGCTGGGTTCCAAAATAATACTTCCATTTGGAAAAGAAATCTTTGACCGATTGAATGCATTCTTGGTTCTCAAACATTCCAACATGAATTTTATAATAATCGTCCTCAAGGAGCAAAAATATCAGTTATTTCTAATCCAGAGATGGGTAAGCCAACGTTCGCATGTCCATAAGAAACGGGAGTAAATCAGAAACAGCCACCCAACTGCCAAAAAACATGGTTTTGTATCAGAGGAATCCACATTAATATAACCAAAAGCTAATAAATTAAGAATGTCGAATTAATCAATGCAAATTTTGAATAAATTTAAGTTTCATTTTTGCATCACAGGAACCATGAATGAATACATACTCAGCTCAGAATGTAATTACTGTCACTGCATGCTTAAATCCACAACTATAGTACAGTATAAAGTATGAAAGTTCCAAAGAAAATCAAAATGCAGAAAAAACTACAGGGCCCTAAGTAGACAGGAAAGGAAGGTTGCAGGCAAATAACAACCCAATAGAAACAATATATGAGTAAATAAAAATGGATTGGGTGTTCTAAGACAATGCAGGAAAAAAAAAAAGAAAAAGAAAAAAAAAGAGGTCTGGCGTTTCATTTATCTGGCAAAATAATGAAAATAGTTTTAGAATACAGTTATGTCTAATAAATGCTGAAATAAAGGAAATAATGAACGAAAGAATGAAATCATTACGCGAACATGAATAAGAGGCGCATAGTTAACTCGTATTTGACTCCAGTTAAAGACAATCGAAGTTATTAACAATGGACTGTGATTAAGCAGGTTGGCCTCTAAGCTGAATTGGTTGTGTTAGCCACAGGAAAGTTGACAAAAGTTTAAAGCAGAGAGAAGAATAGATGGGAAAAAACATCGGACCAGAACTGTGGAGAAAATCATGATGAGAAGGTAGGGAATCAATTAATATGGTAGGATCAAATGTGCAAGTATTAGCAGCTGCTATAAAATTGACTTTGTTTAGAATGGCGTTTAAGGCTTACACCTTGAGGCGCGCCTTAAATTGAGGCACATAAAAAAGTCCTCTAGGCATAAGTCTCATTGTCACGAGTGAAGCTTGTGCCTTTTTCATTTGAGGCCGAGATGTTAGAGCCAACTCCTCCATCAAGTTATTGAAAAAAAATTATATTATATTATATTATATTTAATATATGGGATACAATATCTTAAAACTTCAAAGATAACTTAAGTATGATACTTAATAATGTTATTCATTATTCTTTTATTTTGAAATATATTGGATTTAAATTTAATTGACAGTACAAAGAAAATTATAATGATTGAACAATATTTTAAAGTTGTCAATAGGACGAATTAGATGATAATAAATATGATGATTCTTTTGAAAGTGATGAAAGCAATAATAAGGCTATCATAGATCTTAAACCTCATGAAATATTTAAATTTTAAGTGAATGTTTATATAAAATCACATTTCAAACTTCTATTTTATGTCAATGTTTAAAATTAAAATTTATGATTTGTCTTTATGATAATAAATTAAATCAATATATCAATATTATTTGTGATTTTTTATACACTTTTATTTTAAGAGTTATGCCTTGATTTACGAGCTCAGAAAAAATGCTTCAGTTCCCGAATTTACCTTTTCAAAATTTGAAAATTGATATTCAGCATATATTACACATCTAAATTTTATCACAGTAATAATGCATGAGACATGTATATAATTAATTAAAATGCAATCAAAATTTGATATTTAAATTATACCTCCATAAGTGCTAGTTATGTTGTATAAAAGACATGAGACATGCTATATATATATATCGAGGCACTCATCATTAAGGCTGGGGTTGGCTGAAAATCGGTTCAAAAAATATTTGCTTCAAATATTTGACTCGTTACTCCGCTCATTATTTTCAATATGATCACGATCTGAGCCAAAATTTGAATCAATTTTAAAGCGATTAACGATCTTCGAGCTAAATTTACTAAATTCACAATCATACGCTGTTGAAGATCAGATTTCGAGCCGTATTGAAGCCGATTAGGAGAGTAGACGATCCGACTAAGTTGACGCTTAATGTGACCAAACCATCTAAGACAACTTTCTCTAATTTTGTCCTTCACAAGAGCTACACCAACCCTATCATGTATATATTCATTTCACATTTTGTCTCTAAGTGTAAAGCCACTCATCCACCTAATCATTCTCATCTCGGCAACACTTAACTTAGTATATGCTTCTCTTTTAAAGGCCAATATTCAGCACCATAGAGCATTGCAGGTTTCACCATCGTCTTATCAAATTTTCCTTTCAATCTAATTGGTGCTTTTCTAGCACACAAAAGGCCCAAAGCATTCCTCCAGTTCAACCAACCAACTTGAATCCTACTATTAACATTCCCATCTATATCACCATCGCTTTGAACAATAGACCCAATATATCTAAATCATTCACACCTTTTAATAATTTGATCAACCAAAGTTAAACTTCTGTCATTAGAGCTACTACTACTAAGTTACATTCCATTTATTCAATTTTAGTTCTACTCAAACGAAGGCCTTTAGACTCCAATGTAGACCTCCATAATTAAAGTTTTTCCTGGGCATTTTCTCTAGTCTTATCCACGAGAAGGATATCATCAGCAAAAAGCATACACCAAGGTACATCCTCCTGTAAATGTCTAGTAAGATCATCCATAACTAATGAAAAAAGATATGGGCTTAAAGCCGATCCCTGATGTAATCCAACAGAAATAAGAAAATATTTGGTCAATCCTCTTTCTGTCAAACACAAGTAAGAGCTCTAGTATACATATCTTTAATGGCTTGAATACAAGTTATATCAACTTATATCAACACCTACTCAAGAACTCTCCAAAGGATATCTCTCGGAACCTTATCGTAGCTTTTTCTAAATCAAATTTTTTCAAATCAATAAAAATCAAATGTAGATTATCCTTATTCTCTTTGTACTTCTCCATCAAATCTCTCAATAAATGTATAGCTTCCATAGTAAACCTGCTCGACATAAATCCAAACTGATTAAGAGAAATCTTTGTAATACGTTTTAACTTGTGTTCAATTACCATTTTCCATAATTTTAAAGTACAGCACATCTTGCACGCTCTTGTACATCCCTTTTATTCTTAAAAATGAGGACCAAAATACTCTTCCTCCACTCGTCAGGCATCTTTTTAGTTTTTAAAATAATATTAAATATTTTTAGTAAGATAAGAAACTCTCAAATCTCCTAAATATTTTCATACTTCAATTGGGATATCATCAAGTCCTACAGACTTTCCACCCTTGGTTTTCTTTAAAGCCTCCTCAACTTCTTTTTTACTAATGTGACGGTAAAAATGAAATGTTTTTTTATTATTAACGATATTAAGATCACTAAGGTCAATCATATTTTCAGAAACTTCATTAAAAAGTTTATCAAAATAACTCACCCACCTATGTTGAATATTTTTTTTCTAACGAATGCACTTTTTTATTTTCATCTTTAATCCACTTGAGTTAAATCTTTATTTTTCTTTTCTCTTTGTTTAGCTAGTTTATACATATATTTTTCACCCTCCTTAGTATCTAATCTATTATAAAGATCATTAAAAGCAGAACTTTAGCATCACAGATTATTCTTTTAGACTCTCTGCGGGTCGTGTGATATTTTAACTAGTTCTCTATGCTTTTACATTTAAACCAATTTTTATGATATAATTTCTTATATTTTATCTTTTCTTGCACATTATTATTCCACCACCAACTATTTTTACTTAAATAAACTTTTTCTTTCGATTCTCCAAGTGTATCTTTTTGCTACTTATTTAATTGTATTTATTATTTTATCCTACATAACATTTGTTTCATCATGAACATCCCAAATTTTGAAATTTTGAATTTTAATCATAAAAATAATTTTATTTGTGTATTTTAGGTTCCCCATCTAAATCTACGATAATGAGTTCTAGTATTCTTTATTTTACAACTCTTCATTTTAAAATCTAGAATTAATAAATGATGTCGGGTACTTAAATCTTTACTTGAAATGATCTTACAATCTTTACAATCTCGACGATCTCTTCTTCTCATAAGAAAATAATCAATTTATTTTTTAATAGATCCATTCTTATAAGTAATAAGATTGAATGAAGTGTTAGTAATAACAAAATCATACGCTAAAGCAAAATCTAAAATAGCTCTACCTTCTTCATTAGTCACTCCAAAACCGTTCCAAAACCGTGGCCACCATGAATATTTCTGGAATTTTCTACTACTCTACCGACATGTCCATTTAAATCTCCTCCAATAAAATATCTTTATTCAAGAAGTATCATTTGTATTAAGTCTTCTAAGTCATTCCAGAATTTATCTTTAGACCCTATATCTAAACCTACATCAGGAGCATAAGCACTTATAATATTAAAAATCTTAGTATCAATGATTATATCAATGATAATCTAAAGAGTTATAATTTTATCTCCAACTCTATTAATTTTTACAACATTATCTTTCAAACTCTTATATATAATTACACCTACACCATTTCTAGTGCGACTCTTATCAGAATACCAAAGTCTAAAACCTAAGTTATCAATCTCCTTAGCCTTTTCTCTAACTCATTTAGTTTCTTGAAATCATACAATATTAATCTTTTTATAAATCATAATATCAACCAATTCCGTTAATTTACCATTGAGAGTATCTATATTTCAAGATCATATCATAATATTAATTTCATTGATAAACTTTACAATTTTAAAAAAACTTTTGTTGATATTACATGTTGATTATTCAATTCTTAATGATTAACCTTAATCAAAAGCGCTCTTCTGTTTTTGAAGGGGCCTCTATGAGAAACCTTGAACCTGAGATCAAAAAATCCTAACAAAACAAGGATGAAATCTCTGGGTAGTGTTTTATTTGCAATCTAATCTGTCTTCTAAAACATTGACCATTAAAGCTCTCTCAAGACAACACAAACAAAACCATGGGCGTCAGAATTTTTGGAGCCCACAAGAAGTTGCTATCAAAAGGTCTATGGAATGGAGAATAATATTTAGTGAAATTTAGTTAAGGAAAAAGTACAATTGTGACCATTTAAGTAGGTGTTGTACTAAATATGGTTCAAAAAAAAGTAAGACCGCAAACAATAGTAAATTTTTAGATGAAATTGATCAACAAAATAAGCTGATAAGAGCATAACAAGGTTGTTGGTCCATTTCAAGGATCGAGAACCCAAAACCAAATTGATTCATTAATTTAGAAGCAAATTTCCCTGGCCAAATGAGTTGTCAACCTCTAAGACAAGCTTGTTGTCCAACCCAAGCTAAATTGGCCAACTCTTATGGCCATGTGTTGGATCATATGGAATATTTTCAAGCACCTCGAGTGATCCAAACCTATTTGTAAGTGTATTTAGGGGTTTAAATGATCACACCATGAATTTTGAGCATACCCATGTTCTTAGTTGGGTTTACATTAAGGCCTTAGAAATAAATTAAAAATATCACAATGGCACCACTTTTATTATTATTAGCATCGTATTCAATTGCATGATAAAAAACCTTTAGCTTCTCAAGAGAATCTAGCCATAAGAACTTTGAATACATGTGGTTGGTCTATTAATTATAGTGTTTATATTCATTAAAAAAACAAAATGTGTCAAACCAATTTCATTCTATTTAATTGATTTTGAAAAGGCATAATTAAGTACTATAATAATTTATTTGATGTGCATTAACGAAAAAAGGTTTGTCAAAAAGCATGTAGAAGTTTTAAAATGTATGTATGATGTAGCATTAACATTATCAATAATTTGGGAATAGCTGGAAGTTTTTAATTCCTATAAAATTACACAAAGGATTGACATTCGATTCTTTTTTTTTTTCCGTTTTTTGCATTGGTTACCAAGTTGGTTACCAAGATGCTTATAAAAAATAAGCAAAATGAAGTACCATAGTGTTGCTTTTCACACATGGTATTATTCTAATTGACGAAATAAGTGAATTAGCATAACAAAGGCTAATTATAAGATTTGCAATTTTAATGATTAATATATTAAATAATTATCCATCAATAATATTAAAATGAAAACATATTGCTTCCGTGTGGTAAGTTTAAGTATCTTTGATCTATCACATGGAAAACAAGAATATAAAGAAGCATATAACTTTTACAATTAAGATATGGTGGTAAAAATGGAGAAATGCCTCATGAGTAACATGTAATGCAAGAATATCATAGTGATTTACAATTAAATTTTATAAAACTAAAATTAGGCTATCTATATTATATGTATTCATGTGTTAAGCAATAAAAATATTGTTGAGAACAAAGCTAACACTATCGAAAATGATAATTTAAGATAAATGTGCAACAAAACTAGAAAGTATACTAGAGAAATGATTGGATTGCATTCATTGAAGATAAGTCGTTGAAAATAAACTTTAGATAATTTGAATATGAACAAAAATGATTAGAAAATGCACCCATTAGTCTATTAAGAAAAAAAAAGGAATTATCAAAGAAGTAAGATGAAAACGTGGAACAACAAAACTATCAAATAATTTGCAAATAATAAGCTTACAGTTTAGAAAGCACTCAAAAGGGGGAAATGAAAAAAAGAGGAACCACAAAGCCAGCCCAAAAGAGTTGGGATAAAGTTTTTATTATTGTTGATGGCATCGATGAGAATAACGACGATGGTTTTGTTGATGGTGGGGATAAGATGATTACCAACAGAGATAACAACAAACATTATAAATAAATTGAATTAGTCTAGAGGTTTGGGTGCACACAAACTATCAAGTACAAGTTTATATAAGATAAATTATAGCCAATGATGGCGTTTATATAAAAATAATAATAAATCATGTGTCGAAACAATAGTGATCAAAGATTTTTGGAATCAAAATGATAGTTCCCGACTATGGTCCTGCAGCACTTTCATCTGCGCATGAATTGATAACAATAATAGATGGCATTCAGAGATAGATGGCAGTTCAAGATCTTGTTTTAAGTGCCTCATTACCATTTTTAACAATAGGGGTGGGAAAGGAGAGGATGGAGAAAGTTGTGCTCTTTCAGACCCTTAAACCAATCCTAGTTACCTCAATGCAAAAATTTAATCAACAAATACCATAACTTCAGTAGGCATGATTAGCCAATGCATATACGTCTCTTCATCAATGGTTCCAATGTTATAGATCTTTACAATAATGTCTAATGTGTTAAATTTGCTTCTCTTTCTCCCTTTCCTCAATAGAAAGTGCCCAGCATGATAATCTATCACTGTCAACAGTGTCAACATATTCCACATTGCAATAGATGATGGTGGACATGACATACATTGCCTGTTGCCCTTTTGTGTAATTCTCATAGACACATCAAGACCATCTCCAAAATTCAATATCTAGTCTTAATCATTACCATTAAACAATATGTAAATGTTAAAAAGTTATTCCCCTATCCAACCCTCCTGAAGATGTAGGTCTCATTTGGGGCAGCTTAAAACTGCGGCCAGCTATTTGTTTCATGCGTTCAAAGAGATTGATCGAAAACGGGGTAGGGATTTCTTTAATAAATGCAGCCATGGTATTCACCCCGTTGCCCGCGTTCGTTTCGTAACTTTTACCCCGCTGCCCACGTCTCTCTCGGATCCCCGCTGGCCCCGTCAACCTCACTATCTTCACCCGAACGTTGTCATGCCCAAAGCACGCCAGCCGCTGCTCCTCGTCGGTGAACGTCTTGCCGCGTCCTCTCCTCCTTGTCAAAGCTTCCTACTCAAGGCGCCATTTTTTTGCATAGTCGTCCGACCCTCCTCTCCTCTCGGGCAACCACACATGTGGCCTCCCTTTCTCACCAGCGACCGCCGGCGTCGAGCTCTCACCTAACCTAGCTCCCTCTCACTTCAGTTTATAAATCATTTGAAGAGAGTTCAATATGTTTGTTGCGCTGGCCTTCTTCCCCGCCGGCGTCGAGCTCTCACCTAACCTAGCTCCCTCTCACTTCAGTTTATAAATCATTTGAAGAGAGTTCAATATGTTTGCAGTATTCAAAATCAATTTTGATTCCTAACAGCATCCAAGCCAAATGATGGAATCTCAAAAATTGCCCATTCTTTATGCTAGTTCACACCTTTATGCAGCTTCACATTTTGGGGAAGTTCTACTAGGCGCCTGTTTAAAAATTTTTTAAGAAGAATGAATTAAGAAATCAAAGAAATATTATCAGAGACATCGATGAAATACAATAAAAATCATGGAGCTAATTTTTTGTTGGAGAAACATTATAAGATCATCCTGGATTTTAGCTTGTACAACATAGATTATAATGCTCACTCTTAAGTGAGATGCATATTTTTTTGTATTGTTATAAAGAGGGTTTTTTCTTCTATAATATCAAATATATAACTATGAACACTACTGCACAGAGCAGAATGATCATTTATCCAGAAATAGCTGCAAATCAGTCAGTTGTTTTCCAAGCTTAAAAACCAAACTGTCAGTCAGCTTATCCGGATCAGCTGCTAATCAGCAGAATATCTAGATCAGCTGCTTATCTGCCCCAAACTTACCCTCCCAACCACTGATATCAACTTGAAAACAATATTTTTTTTTCCTGCCACAACTATTTTTAGTCAAAATAAAGCAAACTCTTTTTATCATTCTACATACGAAAAACACAGCCTATTTTCTTGGTAACAAATGCAAAAGTTTTTGCAAATTTCACCCACAATGAAGAAAGCAGGAATTCAAATCAAAACTAGACCACACAACACCTACCGCTATTATACTCTACAAGCTCCTGGTAAAAAATTATCTTCTTTAGGATAGAGTAGGACCAAGCTTTGACAAATTAAACAAAATACTTTCGTGTTATCCAAAAAAGAAAATTTCAATTAAAACAAAATGATACTATAATAATGCTAAACAAAAATGATACACAAAATTAGATATGATAACATACCAATATAGCTTCAATCTCTTCCTTTGAGACTGGTGCACGCTTTGGTAAAAGTGAAGCCTTTCCTCCTAAAGCAGAATTGGTAGGAGGAGCTGGCACATCTGAACGAAATCTATAGCCACGAGCCCCACCATCTGATGCAGGTGTTGGTTGAGTAGGAGGAGAACCTGTTCATCAAACACCAGTTTAGATTCATAAACCACCATTAATTCAATGTGTGTGACAACATGCTAAGGATAAAAAAGAAATATCTGAAAGATAATCTATGAACTCTCTCAAGATAAATGTAGTTAAATATAGAGTAAAAATCTTGTAGTGAAAGAGAAAACGACATTAGACCGGCCTCATCATGTAACGGAAAGCTATAACTAAAATGACTGGTCTAAAAGGAACCTTCTTGGATGGATAAAATTTGGCATCACTAGTCCATGACAGCTTTTCTTAGATGCAAGTTTAATTCAAGGTAGTGGTAGGCACCAAGTCCTGTAATCTACTAGGAAAGAAGCTGAACCAAGTGCTTAGATTTTCTTTTAAACTATGAAACTACTTATAAACAAAATAAGGTATCGAGCATGTTTCCTTGTAATTTTTCCTTTGGAACTTCTCCTCTTCCTATATTTTTTAATTCAAGAGGCTATCAAGGATCTCGAGATCTAACAAAGCATGCCAACAACTATATTGGAAAGCTACAAAATCAGCCGCATTACTTCCTAGGAGCTCCCTACATCAAAGCTTTTATCAGGGCAATACCAGAGTTACAATGTACGCCAGTGAAGGACACACAAGGAGAGCGACTAAGCCACGAGTAAAGAACCTTTTAGTGTGATTTGAGTTTCCTTGGCAACAGCTTTGCCCCATCAACTATTTTCAAAGATAAACTAAGGGGATTTCATAGCATCTTTCACATTAATTAATTAGGAATTATTTGAATATTGTTAGAAAAATTGTCACTATTTAATTTGTCAAAATTTAGTCAAGATTTAATATTGAGATTTCATAATTGCATTGGAATGCATGCGGTTTAAGAGTTGGTTGATTAGACATATTGTACTCATTAGAAAAATGTAACAGTTGAAAATTTCATCTCGATTAAATTTGGGTGAGAACAACCTAACCCAAAAATTTTCCAATATTTAAATTCTTTGCTTACAATTAAGCATCCCTTTGTACACATTTTGATTAAATGAAAATAACTGAAATTTTATTACGCCGGTGCCTAAGGACAATTTTGTCTTTTGTGAGCCTACCAACAATTTAGTCTTTTGTTTTTTATTATTATTTAGTATAAAAAAGGCTAATATATTTAGAGTTAAGGTTATGCATGAAATTGTGTCCAAGTCTTAGGGTTAGTGTTTTGGAGAGATTTCCTATTTTTTGAATTGTAGGATTTATGAGAGATTATCAGCCTCTTGAATTGCAAGTATTTATCCTTTGCGTGTTGTCTAGTTTGTGTTATTGAAGAAAGAAATGTGTTTTGTCCTAATTTCTGTGTAAAAACTTGTGTTAGATAATACTGAATTGGTATCAGAGCATTTGGCCGCTGCAAAACGTATGATCATGTTGAAATTGTCCATTTGTTATTTCAAACCTCGCAATACTCGCAATACAGACTAACTGGGAAGCAAATATGGAATGACAGCGCACAAAGTGTCATTTTTCAAACCGAACTCGCAATATAGTGCGACAAGAGCTACTTATGGGAAGCCACTGACGAGATTGGCAGCCTTCAAGACCTGACCTCGCAATATAGTCACAATTTGTGAGGAAGCAACGACGGGATCTAATTACCCCGGGAAAGCCAAGGAAGGGATCGTGGCACCTCCTTTGTGATACGGCGCAACACGATTGCTAACAGAAAGCCGATGGGAACGTGGCGTACTTGAAATCCACCGAAGGAATTGTGTACCTTGCAATACAATTGTGATAAAAGCTAGCTGGGAAGTCATGGAAGAAATCCCATACAACCTCCTTAAATCCCAATGATGAGATCGTGTACTACTTCCGATACAGGTGCGATTAGAGCTAGCTTGGAAGACCAAAAGGGATCGCAGTGTCAGACCTTCATGACTCAACTCTTTTGTGATTGAATCCCATGATAAATTCACGATCCTGAGAAGCATCGATCGTGATGTACAGGCCCTCCTGACTGAACCTCGTGATCGAGATCGAACATACAGTGACCTAACCGCGCAATAAAGTCACAAATTGAGATACTGGGGAAGTCACAAACAAAATTTCAACATACAAAAGATTCTCATTTGGAAACGACATTAAAGAAATGGCGGCAAGGAAAGTTGATGCTTTGGAAGAGAAATTCAAGGAGAGGTAGGGCGACTTAAATACGAGATAGAGGAAAGGTTTTCTTCCATTGACAACCGATCCGAGAACTTGAAAGAGACAATAAGGAAGCTTATCGGGATGCAATCCAAGACCCTGTCAACAGTCTACCTTGCAAATCCTAACCAAAAAATTGACAGGAAAATTCGTGGCCAATTCAAAAGAAATAAAGAACAAACATGTGAAACATAAGAAGGAAACATCCACCATGACTGTGATGGGAGTTTATGATGTGGAGGCCCAAAGAGAGTTTACATAGGATCGAAAAGCCTCCGGAAATCTATTATGACTTTTATACATTCGCGCGTACAAATATCACAATTGACACACTCATACACACATAAATACACACAATTCACTAAATTGAACAAAATCGGACAAAAATCAAACTTAAACAAAGAAAAGAAAAATGTGAACTTGTTCGGATGACGCTGGATGACAAAACGGACCATGCAAGCGCGTTTGGGGCGTCAATTTTACTTAGAAATGACACTCATATTGATATAATTCCGGGGACATGAAATTTGCATGTAAGTTGAGGCGTGTTAATCTCTTGGTTTGGCATGCTTACGCACGACAAAGGACAGTTGACTAGTCCCGCACCCTCTGCCCGAAACTTCTCTTCCCGAAGCTATCATTCCTTTGGGGAAATAAGCCTTCACTTTTGGTGAAAATGCGTCCTTTGAGCTAGCCTTCATGGAATATTTGGAGGGCAAAGCACCCATCCTTTCCCTTGAATTTTTGCACCAGCAGAACTTTCCCTGCCCCCACCCCATGGCTGAGATTATAAAAAGGGCATTTTTCATGTTCAAAAAGAGATATACTTCACTTAACCTTGGGGAAACCTTGCCGAATATTCTCTAGAGCTCCTCACAACCTCCAACAAGTCTTTGGGACCCAAGTGAAGCTACAGCAACCACCCAATCGAGGCATCACCTCTTGGGCAAAGGTATCATTTCAAAACTTTACGTTTTTTCCCACCTTTTGTAACTTTGTGAAATAAGTTTACATTTCATGATAGTTTAGCCTTAAGTATTTAGTCTACACACTTAGTTGAAGGTGTAGGAACAAACCATACTTGATTTCGATAAGAATCGACAGAAATTTTAATGTTTGAAATTGGACGGTTTAAGTTTTCTGGCTTGATGAAGAAGAAGAAAAGTACCTGGGTTATTCCTAGGTTATTTTCAGGTTATTCTGGGTATATTCTCACTACATATAGTATTTGGGTTATTTCTAGGTTATTCGCGGGTTATTTCCAGGTTATTCTGGATTATACAATATGTGGGTTATTTCAAGGTTATTTTGGAGTTATTGTCATTATTTTGTTATTTTTTCTCATGTCTCTTCACATGTCTTGTTACTTAGTGATATTATGAAGTTATTCCTGGTGTTTTATTGTTGTGTTTGCATTGCATGTTGATGTTATCATAATTTTTAGTGACTTTTCTTATTGTTAAGTTAAAATGGAAATTTTTTATTTAATTAATTACAGAAAATGATTCACACTTTAAAAAATCATATCTTAGTGTAGGAAGATCATAAAAATGAAACAAAGATATCATTGTATTTGGGTAACGTAGGAGAAATTATTGACCGAAAATAAAAAATATTTATTTTGTATTTTTCGGTAAAATAATTATTTTCTCTAAGATGTGTTTTAATTATAGAAAATCAAATACTTATTGTTTTGACTTGAAATTTTGAGGGTTCGTTCATCATGATATTATGAGTGTTCTAAGATTTTTCCAAGGTCAGGGAACACCTCTAACTCGGGAACTCTATTTTCTAATGAAAATGACCTTATTTTGATAAAATAATTGTCAAAATTAAAATATAAGTCCGAAAATTATCTTCTTAGGATCAGGGGAGTCGGAGAAAAAAGAAATTTGCTGTAAAATTATCTTCTTAGGATCGGGGGAGTCGGAGAAAAAAGAAATTTGCTGTAAAATTAAAAAAGTTATATTTATTTGGTTTTCCTTTCGAAAATCATTTGAAATTTTTGAAAATTAAAATATACTTCGAAAAATCACAATATTATTTTTGATGAGTGCCTCGGCCATGAGAAACATCCCAAAAATTTTCAAAGGATAGAAAGTTTATTTTGAATGGTTAAATAAATTTAGATGTTAAATTCCCTATTTTGAGCATAAAAAATTCTCAAAAATAAATAAATAAATTAAATAAAAAAATATAATTTCTTCTCGGTTGACTTAATTAATCTATGAATGAGAGGACAATGAAATTTCATGTTCATTTGACTTGAGAATTCAAGGTTAAGGAGTGTAAACCCTTAGGGTAGATTTGTAATTTTTAGGATCTTGCACTTTAGCCCTAAATTTTAAGATTAATCTAAGGGGAGGGAATTAAAACAATGATAATTAGTCTGCTGAAACGATTGAAACCTAAAGGGAAACTTGGTAGCAACTCATTTACCTAAATTCCTACTATAAGGGCAAAATTATAATTTTGGGAATTGTTGAGGATTGGGAGAAAATAAGAACTGAGATGATTCAAGAGTCAGGGTTATGAATTGGAAGATCAATAGATTGTCAATTAGGACCCCTAATCATTGGTTAAACTTAAGCTCAATTATTTTAATTAGGATTGCAGCACACTTCTTGATCTTTTTGTAAAATTACAAGGTCAACCATAAATCTTAAGAGCTTGATAGTGAGCTAAGTTTAATTTAAAGATACTTGAGAATTAATTAAAAAATACTTAATTGAAGACGAAACACCTTAAAGCACTTCAAGCTAAAGTTAAAGTATAGGCTTCCTAAATTTTGTAAGCACATTCTATGTGGGAGTTCTTCCACCTAATGTTCAAA